AGTATTAAACTTGGCTTTCTGTTTTGTAGTTTCGCTGACAAAGGCAAAGAAAAAAGGCTTAGATTTAAAAACAGGACTGGTGAAAGAGGTAAACTGTCTTTTTGTTTAAGTATCATCAATATCACGATCAAGGTTTTGATGGAAAATTAACAATGATGTCTTTTTGTGAGATAGATCCAAGAATGTGTTGATAATTATGCCTTCATCTATGTATTCTCGGTGGAAAACATGAGGAATAGTAAATTAAAGGAAGTAAGGAATGAGTGGAAGCACAGAAGGTGAGATAGTTGATGAGAGAAAAAATAACTTTTTCAAATAACACTTCATAGTTGAATCATGAGTTACGTGACTCAAACCTGTGGCTAATTTAATCAAAATTATGTTTAAATACCGGATTACTGTTGTTGCTGCTTCTAATAGTATTGTTTATTATGTGCTAAATCAATGCAACTGTATCGTTGAACTCAACTATATTTAAACTGTTCTATGATAAGGATTACTTTGGTGGTCTTCCATGATCAGTCAGTGTAAAATGCAGACTGCACACTGCAGACTAGGCCGGGGTAAAATGCAGACTGAGGGTAAAATGCAGACTGCAGACTATAGAATAATTATTTTTAACTGAATCATGTTACCATTTCTATCATTGAGAGCTCACCGGAGTGTTATATAGGCTAACCTGAGTGATATTCAGGCTAATCCGAGTGATATGCAGGCTAATTGGAGTGATATTCAGGTTACCCTGATTGTACACTTTCACTGCAATTAGCCTGAATAGCTCCTTTTATAATAAGCACTGGATAATGTAAAAAACATGCACTCTGCAGTCTCCATTTTACACTGATCGCTTTCATGATTGGATGATCATGAAAAACCATACATGCGTTTTTCTGAGGGATTTTTCATGCATTTGTTAGTGATGCAAGCAAAGCAGTCAAGATTGTTGAACGGAAGTCACTTTCTAAATACATGTAACAAACAATGTGACTATAAATGAAATTAATCTAAGTGTTTACTGTACTGTTAAGACTACATGTATTTAACATCATGATCCATGGTTATTTTTTATTTTCCATTCCAGGTTTTTCTTTGGTAAGAACAAAGTTATGACCATTGCACTTGGACGAGAAAAAGAAGCAGAATACAGAGAGAACCTACACAAGATAGCTAATGTANTTCAAATAACACTTCATAGTTGAATCATGAGTTACGTGACTCAAACCTGTGGCTAATTTAATCAAAATTATGTTTAAATACCGGATTACTGTTGTTGCTGCTTCTAATAGTATTGTTTATTATGTGCTAAATCAATGCAATTGTATTGTTGAACTCAACTATATTTAAACTGTTGTATGATAAGGATTACTTTGGTGGTCTTCCATCATCATTGAGAGCTCATTGAGAGCTCACGAGAGTGTTATATAGGTTAACCTGAGTAATATTCAGGCTAATCCGAGTGATATTCAGGCTAATTGGAGTGATGTTCAGGTTACCCTGATTGTAGACTTTCACTGCAATTAGCGTGAATAGCTCCTTTTATGATAAGCCCTGGATAATGTAAAAAACATGCAGTCCGCAGTCTGCATTTTACACTCATCGCTTTCATGATTGGATGATCATGAAAAACCATACATGCGTTTTTCTGAGGGATGTTTCATGCATTTGTTAGTGATGCAAGCAAAGCAGTCAAGATTGCTGAATGGAAGTCACTTTCTAAATACATGTAACAAACAATGTGACTACAAATGAAATTAATCTAAGTGTTTACTGTACTGTTAAGACTACATGTATTTAACATCATGATCCATGGTTATTTTTTATTTTCCATTCCAGGTTTTTCTTTGGTAAGAACAAAGTTATGACCATTGCACTTGGACAAGAAAAAGAAGCAGAATACAGAGAGAACCTACACAAGATAGCTAATGTGAGTGTCAACTTCATGTCTTAGCATTACATTGAGGGAAATATTTAACAAATTTAATGTGGTTTAGCGTGGTCTGTACTCTTAATGACAACAATACACATCATCACAGTAGTTTGTGGACTCACGAGGCGCAGCTGAGTGAGTCCACAACAAATTTTGACCACTGTGATGATGCATATCATTGTTGATAAGAGTACAGA